GTGGGTGTTGCGTTGTACATACAGTGGCATAAACTGCCGTAATGTGCACCCCTCTCCTTCGAGGATAAAAGGCGTGATGTTATGTTATGTCATGTATTTTTTCTGATGACATGAAGGTCGCATATAGCTGCTGTATGCATGTCGCTTCCAACCTTGCGATGTGTAGTCATTGGGGGTGGACTGTGGGGGGGCAGTAGATGATTTGCTGTTAATATGTTGATGTATTTTTTTAATTTTTGTCTTTAACACACTATCGCAGATCTTTTTAAGTAAAACTTTAAAGATAATCACGTTGTGGCGACACATGGTACATGTCAACGGATGACGTCACAAAAATCCTACATCGCACATACAAAGTTTACATGCAAATTAACACGGATAGAAAATCCCAACGAACAACTGTTGGGCAGAAAGCCCGCCAGGCACGATCACCTCGCCTGGTCGGACGATCCTCCTTTTCCGATCATAGGGAACTATACACTCTGTTCCTTAAAACGTCAAAACAATCGAAAGATTTATTTATGTTTCGTAACAAAAAAGTAAGATCACCTAAGTTATTTAGTCTGAAGGTAATAAAATAAATAATGATTCAATACAGAGACAGTAGCTATAGTTATACTAAATTATATACTTTTATAATAACTATCGTGTGACATACTAAATTAACTAAAAAACCTGGGATACTCACGTGAATATACTGAGAATAGCTCTACTAGTTTCGAAATTGTATGCTTTGTAACGAAGCCATATCTTTTGTAAGTATTCGTGGACTCAGTCGCCAACCAGTGGTTACTGTCTCTGTACTGAATCAATCTTTATATTGTTACCTGCATATTAAATATGGTTGACAGTACATGGATCTACTTAATTATGAGAAATCGTTTTTATTCTGCAACATGTAAGGATAGTTATCATAAATAAAGATTATAAATAAAATGTTATGGTGCGTCCACATCTAGTGAATGCTCTGCGGCTCGCGAGCAACTTGCGAACAGCACGAGTGTGTATACACCATTATAGCAGTATTTGGTTAGATTATTGAGTTTTTGATTGTCAAATGTCAAATTATATATATTAAATTGGCGGTCTGCGTCATCGCCATGTTCATTGTTACGCATGTAAATGTCTTCTATCTAAGATCAGATGAATTTTAATTCAGTAAAATGTAAGTATCTGAAGATTTTTCGTGTATATATAGCCGTATACAAGGTGTTGTTTTAAAGCCGCGTCACTTTCTAGGAGGTAACTCGACTATAGATTCTGAGTCCGAATCAATAAAAAAATTGTACCTAAATATTTTTAATTTTTCTGTAAATTACGGAAATCCGTAAGTGCGAACTACACGCCGCCGTCTTGTAACTAGCTTTATAACGCGGCTTAACACACAAATTCAAACACGTAATTGATATTATTCCTAATTCCATAAAACTCCAATAAGAAACGTTGCTGTCGCTTATTCTGAAATACTGTCGAACTTAAACGATTTATTATAGCCGTATTTTTAACTATTGGCCCGAAAATTTCTCTTACATTGAACTTTTATGACTTCTGTGGCATGCCTCCGAGATGCCACGGTTTCAAAACTACACCTTGTATATATTTATACCTGAGGCAAATTAGGCAAGGGCGCGAGGTTATAGAGAGGCGTCGCGAGACGTGCTTACCCAAATAATCTTAGTGGCGGCGGCGCCAAAAAACTTAACCTATGACATGTTTGCCTAATTTCCCTATGATGTATATACAACCAGAGAATACTGAGAATAGAATACCAGATGAATAGTTATTACCAGTGGTGTATTTGTATTGTAACTTTCGTGAGACATACTAAATAAATTATTATGTTTTCGGCTTACTCACGTAGTAATTTGACGAGGAACTCGACTAGTTTCAAGCCATGCTAGAGGCTCATATTCATGAGCAGCATTTCGCGACCCGTGACGTGGCGCTGCTACTGGTGCGTACTAGTCGAGTTCCTCGTCAAATTACTACGTGAGTAAGCCGAAAACAAAATAATTTAAACTACCAGTGGTGGTTTGAAGGTTTGAACCACCACTGGTTGTAACTATTCATTCTATAGAACAATGATTAAGTTTTAAGTCGAAATATTTTATCACATTCATTGTTTTAAAATAAGTATCAAACTTTTTTACATATGACTCAACGTAACTGGTGAAAAGTGGGTAGTTATCGGAAACAGCAATAATGTTTTGTCTCTTTCTTATTGTGTGTGTGTGAAAGAGATACACCTAGCTACAATATTGTTTGAAATTATACATTTTAAATTTGAAATCATGAATCTGATTGTTAATGTGAGCAGAGGTTTTTGCCTCGCAGTGGGACAGAAAGGCCTGCCATACACGGATTCGAGCTGAGGGCCAAGCACAAATAACTATCGCATTCGTATGGTAACAGTATCGAGCGAGTTAAGCTTTCTGATTGGTTGGTTCAGTTGAGCCGGCCAATCAGAGCGCCGAACGCGCTCGATACTATTACGTTACGAATGCGATAGTTATTCGTGCTTGGCCCTCAGTTCCCCACTCATTCACATACATCGCTCTTGTAGTAATCAACAGCTTAAAGCTGCTTTTGATAACTGCTCGAACAGTTTGAAATTTAATGGCAATAAAAAAAAAATTGGTTGCCTGTAAAGTCGGTATACGGGCGAAAGTTTTACGTGACAACGATGTCTGTCTCTCTCGCTCTTAGGCGGGCTAACCATGCCCGAGTGGAAGGGACGCGTGCCTCTCACTCGCTCTCATTGTGAGCGCATAACGTAAGCGGAGCGTAACGCAGTTTCTTGAAGTGTCACCCGGCAAACCAATTTATAAGACGTTGTCACGTCAAAATGATGTGCAATTAAAAACGCGGGCGGGGTGGAAGCCATGCTCCAGTAGTCAATGTATGCCTGGCAACTGTTTGAACCGCCTGAAGCTGTAGTAACAAGAAATCCGTATATGGCGGCTCTTCCAGGCCAATATTTCCTACATGAATAGCTTTTGTCTGCACATACATATATACAAGGTGTACTTTTAAAACCGTGGCATTTTTCGGGGGCATGTCACAGAAGTCATAAAGGTTCAATGTAACAGAAAGTTTCGGGCCAATAGTTAAAAATACGGCTATAATAAATCGCTTACGTTTGACAGTATTTCAGAATAAGCGACAGCAATGTCTCTTAAATGGAGTTTTATGGAATTAGGAATAATATCGGTTACGTGTTGTAAGTTCGTGTGTATTAAGCCGCGTTATAAAACTAGTTACAAAACGGCGGCGTATAGTTCGCACTTACGGATTTCCGTAAATTACAGAAAAATGAAAAGTATGTACCTACAATTTTTTTTATTGATTCGAACTCAGAATCGATAGCAGAGTTACCTCCTAGAAAATGACGCGGCTTTAAAACAACACCTTGTATAACCTTTTTGGTAGGAATTTCTGTAATTTTTCTCTCAGCACTCCTACAACCCGCTACATGTCATCACAGCTTGCTACGCGCAGTTGTTACAGCTGTGTGCAATCTGTCACTCACCGGTTTTATTAATTTGATTACTTATTCATTGATTTAGAGGATACCTAATGTTAATACCTTGTACAGTTCGATAAATTAATGATTATATAATGTCTAGGTTAACACATAAGATAATATATAAGGCTGAATATTACTTTATGTAATTTTAATCGAATAAAACGATTACATATTTAAGTTTTACAACATGTTTTATTTATTTACAACTAGCCCCCTCTCCTTCCCCCTCCCCGGGTGCTATTTTTTTAAGGGGGGAAAATCATCGAATCACTTGTCCCGCCTGGGTGAGACGGGAGGGAGTGTCAGAATCTTGACTGACTGTCTGACTGACTGACTAAAAACCACCCCGTTCCTACTCCTGCACTTCGAGCCGGACCCCCGGTAACCCGTTAAGTTCTCCGCAGCTCCGTACTCTCCGGGTGCTATAACCCTGTGATTGTGTCGAGTTTTTTATTTCATAATAATCTTGTCCTAACAATAACGAATACCACAAACAATAATTATGTAATTTGGTCGAGTGGTTTAGTAGTTATGCGTCCACAAATTACGTCACACGTTAAGGGGTAGGGAGGGGGTCGACGAAGTGTGACATTGTGTGACAAGGGGGAGGGAGGGATCCTAAACTTTGTGATGTTACATTTCGAAAAACTTATAAAACACGAAATATACCTAATTGTATTAATGTTTTTTATTTTGTTTGATTTCATATTAATATTTTCTTAAAGTAATTTAAATAGAAATAAAACTGATTTCGGAACCGCTGTTTTGATTCGAAAATTTTTATACATACGTAATTCTGTAAATTGTGACGTCACACTAGGGGAGGGGGGGTCTCACGAATGTGAATAGCTGTGACAAGGACGGGGGGAGGGGCAAAAAAATCATAAAATTCTTGTGACGTAATTTATAGATGACCCTTACATATACATTTCCGTATTGTTTTTATATGATCCAATACATTAAAATAATAGGTTCTACAAACAATTGATTATTTGATTTAAAATTGTTCCAATCTCCTTTATAAGAAAAACTTTGTTGACAATAAATTGATGTAAGAAGTTTATGACATCACAAAATGTAATCTCATACAAAAATATTACTTTTAACATTATTTTATGTAATGTAAAAGACAAATATTGAATTTGACTAACTATCAGAATAGAGATATCATTACACTACATGAGCCGCTGTTTACATGTGAACATTAGCTCATGACGATACCTAAGTACGTGTGTCGCCTGGACAGTCACCGCTACCATCAGTTGACTGGACAATCTCTTTACATGTGAACATTAGCTCATGGCGATACCTAAGTACGTGTGTCGCCTGGACAGTCACCTCTACCATCAGTTGACTGGACAATCTCTTTACATGAGCTGCTGTTTACATGTGAAGATTAACTCCTGGTTATAGGTTGCTCCCAAACGACCGACATGAAGTCGTTAGAAGATGGCTAAGTGAGACAGGACGCGTCTTACGTCTGATGTGATGACGACGAGATGACATTTTTATGTTGTGTTTTCTGGTGTGTCATCATTGCTGTTTTTTGAGCGAAGGCCGCCGGACAGTATTGACATTTGTGAGGTCTCTCACCGGTGTGTGTACGTCTGTGGTTCACGAGGATACGGTTCGTCTGAAATAGCAGAGAAAATACACACCTATAGATAGTACAAGTTTAAGTGTGAGAGAGCCATGCTTCGACACGAATTGGCCGGCTCGACCGGAGTGATACCACGGCCGAGCAGAAAACCGACGTGAAGCAACGGTTGCGTCGTGTTTCGTTGTGTAAGTGAGGTTATCGGAGGCCCAATTACCCCCCCCCCCCCTTCCCCTAATCCCTGAATGCCCAACAATACTCAAATTCCTAATCCTAAAAGGCCGATAACGCACTTGTTACTTCTCTGGTGTCGCAATTGCTTAACATCAGGTGATCCACCTGCTCGTTTACACAGGTATTCCATAAAAAATAGTAGAAAAATTAAAATATATAGCTGCACTTTCAGTTTCAGAAGAATGATAATTGTTGAAGGAAAATATCGTGAGGAAACTTAAGGCTTATAATGTCTAATTACTAGTTTGAAACACAAGTAGTTACTTTTTTCTTCTTTTAAAAATCGTTGCCCCACACTAGGATTGTCTCCTGTGTCGTGGGTGCGTTTACAAACATACAAGTTCACATACACAATGACACCCAGACCCGAAACAACAATTTTTGAATTACACAAGGAATTGCTCCGTGCTGGAATCGAACCCGCTACACGTTGCGCGGTAGCCGGTTACCCAGCCATCGCGACAACCGTGCAGTCAGTTATTAATTAGTAATTAATATTATTTTAGTGCCATATTTAATTAATAAGTTCAAAAATTATAATTGTTGTTTTGTTAATATTTTAACAATAGAAACGTAACATAACATCACGCCTTTTTATTCCCAAAGGGGTAGGCAGAGGTGCACATTGTGCCAATGTACAATGTAACACCCAGTTTTCAATACTTATGTTATGAGTCCCATGTAATAGGGGGTGAGCCTATTGCCATATACCGGGCACAATTCCACACTTCGTGCTACTACTAAGATTTTTTAAAATCCAGTAATACTTTTCCCGACCCGGAAATCGAACCCGAGACCCCTTGCCCGGCACTTGCTCGCACTTATTACATGGGACTCATAACATAAATAGTGAAAAGTGGGTGTTACATTGTACAGTGGCATTAAGTGCCGAAATTTGCACGTCTGCCTACCCCTTCGGAGATAAAAAGGCGTAATGTTATGTTTACGTAGTTATACTTACAGAAAATCCTCTGTCGCATATGTTGCAAAATTTATTTTTTAATTGAGGAATCTTTTGATGGACATGCTTTATGTGATTCTTTAGCCCGAGCCCTCTGGCAAAGTACTGAAAAAAAATAACAATTTTTAAATTAATAAATCTAAATATACATATAAATAAAAGTCGAGTTAATTTTTGTAATCTGCATAATGGGTCAAGCGTGTCTTTACATTGTTTTCACATACATATATGTACATTATTGGAAGTATGGGAGAGCCATGCTTCGGCACGAATGGGCCGGCTCGACCGGAGTGATACTACGGCCGAGCAGACAACAGACGTGAAGCAATGTTTGCGTTGTGTTTCGTCGTGTGAGTGAGGTTACCGGAGGCCCAGCTCCCTCCCCCCTTCCCCAATCTCACCAATCCCCAAATCCCCAACAATACTCAAACGCCTAATCCCCAGAAGGCCGGTAACGCACTTGTAACGCTTCTGGTGTTCTAGGTGTCCATGGCCGACGCCGATTGCTTACCATCAGGTGATCCGTCTGCTCGTGTACTCGGCAAATATGTATCAGAGACATTGTAGAATTGTGCTTCTTTGTTATCTCGTAATGAACTTAAACTCTCAACTCGTTTACATTCTCATAAGATTTAATGTAAATTAGATATCTCCACAAAAAAATAATATTGACCCTGACGATCGATGCAATAAAAGTACTTATAGGCATAGCTTCGTTAAACGTTAAAGCGATACATTTCGGAATAATTAACGTAAGTTAACGTTAATCGTTAATCCGTTAATATGTGTAAAATTACATTTTTATATCGTTCGTGATATTAAAAACAAAAAAAAATATTCTTCGCGGTTTTCGCACTCGCACGCGCCGGCCAAATTTGTTTTTGTATCACGCGCTGCGACGCGCCGCCCGGCACTTGTTTCCGGCATTTCATACTTGTCTGAATCTGTTTTTCGCACCGCGCCGCGGTGCTGTGCGGTAAATAGTAGGCATTGGATTAACGATTAACAGACTTCTGCATTTTAACGGAAGTTAACATTATTAAAAGTTAATTTAAAAGTTAATCCGTTAATCAAAATGTTAACTTCGTTAATTAACGGATTAACGAGTTAATGCCCAGCTATGCTTATAGGGTGTAACTTTTACACATTTTAGTCGGTTCGATTGTCGTGTGCGGCAAGCGAATTTTTAAAAATCATTGTATCTCGTTTTCTTTCTTTTCAAAAATAAAAGAATGTTTTCTTTGAGTAAAATTTTCTATCTAAAGTATGACGAATACTTTCCCTTCAGGGGGCATTACAAAATTCCACCCTGTATATATATGTAATAAGTATATAGATACAACAATGGAATACATATCAATAGAATAAATATGAAAATGTATATAAAATAAAATAATAAGAAAGGAAAAATGTTAATAAATGATACACATGACAGAATGAGCATAGGGAAAGGATAGTCAGTATATCTGTGTTCTGTCAAAGTCAAAGCATTTATTTCAATTAAACCATAGTTTGGTACTTTTGAAACGTCAACAAATACAAAATAAATAATAGTCTGTCAGTTAGTCCGTCAGTGAAACTAGGTGAAGCTAGGTGCTCATTCCAAAAAGTAGATTCGAATGGAGAAGAACGAGCAAGAAACTCCATTCGTTACTCTTTTTAAAAAAGTATGTTCTACAATGTCTCTGATACATATTTCAATACTGTACGCATATGTAAGAACAATGCAAAGACACGTTTGACGCATTATACTAATAACTTACTAAAAATAAAAAAAAAATGTATGTCTGCATCATTAATACATTAAATTGGCTTGAGTTAAATGATAGACAAATCAGTATTAATTGCAGTTATACATACCTTATTACATATTTCACAGTAATACTTCGTTTTGTTCGTATGAAACAATTCGTAGTGATTATTTCTATATATTTTACTATGAAACACTTTTTTGCAAGCCGGACATGTTATACTGAAATAAAGAAATAAATAAATTCAAGTTATTTTTTTTTATGGCATAGGCCGGTAATGGAGCATACGGATCACCTGATGGTAAGCAATCGACGTCGCCCATGGACACACGGAACACCAGAGGCGTTACAAGTGCGTTACCGGCCTTTTGGGGATTAGGAGTTTGAGGATCGTTGGGGATTCAAGTATTGGAGAGATTGGGGAAGGGGAGGGTAATTGGGCCTCCGGTAATCTCACTCATACGACGAAACACAACGCAAGCGTTGCTTCACGTCGGTTTTCTGTGAGGCCGTGGTATCACTTTAAATTGAACTGTTTCTTATGAGCTCGATCTCCCAATAAAGCCCTTTCGTTTCATATCCACAATGGAAGTAGTTGTAAACAACATTGTTTATATTGTATAGCCATATCACTGCCTCATTGGCCGCGTGGTCGCAAGTGCGACTGCTGCCGGGCAGGGGTATCGGGTTCGATTCCGGGTCGGGCAAAGTATTACTGGGTTTTTAAAAATCTCAGTAGTAACACGGAGTCTGGAAATGTGCCCGGTATATGGCAATAGGCTGACCCCCTATTACATGGGACTCATAACATAAATGGTGAAAAGTGGGTGTTACATTGTACAGTGGCATTAAGTGTCGCAATGTGCACCTCTGCCTACCCCTTGCCCGGGACCCCGAGACCCCGAGACCACTCGGCGAACGAGGCAGTTGTATTATTAGTAGGTATAGATGTTCTACTCACTCTTCTATAGGTCTCCGCGTATGCTTCACCGAATGCTCAATATGTCTCTTATACAAGTGAATGCTGGCGAACTGTTTGTCACATTCAACACAGTACCTTAATTCTTTACTAGTAGGTTTGATTTTTGATCGTATATTCAATTTATCTAGCAATTCAGGGTGGTGGTACTTTACATGTGTACCAACAAAAATACGGAAATTTCTGAAGGTTTTCTTGCATACAGTACATTGATAGGGTACGTGAGTGTTTCTGAAAGAAAAAAGGAACAGGATTTTACAGTTAAGGAGTTGCTATTCTGTTATAATTCATTAAATGTCGCTTGAGTATGTTATAGATGTGCCTTTTATTTTTGTATTCCATTTTACAAACTATGTGTTTTGGCAACTTATTTAGTACTAGCTTTTACCCGCGGCTTTGCTCGCGTCACAAAAGGATAAAAAGTAGCTTAATAATAAATAATAATAATAAATAATCTTTATTGTACACCAATTTGAGACAGTATATCCAGGAACAAATAAAGAAAATAGGGTACAAAGGCGGCCTTATCGCTAAAAGCGATATCTACCAGGCAACCTTTGGGTGGATAGAATACTATAGTAGGATATTAAATGAGGTAGTTATAGCTTGGCGTACTGAGGTGCTTATTTATATAATGTAAAAGAGAAAACATTAAAAAACAAATTTATTTACTTTTAATATAGAATTATATACATACATACACACACACATACATACATACATACATACATTAGCTATGTGACATATACCAATACACACAGCGCCATCTATACCAATACTTTTGTTTTCCCTCGGGAATAGCAATTTTTTTCGGGATAAAAAGTACCCTATTATTTAATCCAGACTAACTTTACGTCTGCAAAAATTCAAAGCAATCGGTTTAGTAGTTATGGCGTGAAGTCGGAACAAACACACAAACAAACAAACTCACTTTCCGAATTATAATATTAGTAAGGATTCGGGCAAGACTGACATTCCATACTCTCTCACTATAATCGTTATGACATTTTGGTATATCAAAGGTAGGGTGATAGTCTACGTATTGTGTTTAATTTTTTTTATATATACTAGAGTGGGGCAACGTTTAAAAAGTACCATAAAAACGGCACAAAATACTTACTTAATATGTTTCTCGAGCGCCGTTTTAGACCTGTACTTTGCCTGACAGTAATCACACTCGAAGAATTCATGTACTTTCTGATGATGTTCACTAAATTCTTTTAACGTTCTGAAAATAAATAATAATAAACAGTAAAAATTGTATTCATATAGCAGTACATAGCAATAGTAGCGCGACAGTCGCCGTGTCGCAGGGCGCGAAATGCTGCTTATGAATATGAGCCTCTAGCATGGCTTGAAACTAGTCGAGTTCCTTGTCAAATTATTACGTGAGTAAGCCGAAAATATAATATTTTTTTTAGTATGTCTCACGAAAGTTCCAACACAAATATAGTAAAAATTTTATCTCCCAACAAACAAAAAATCCTCTCATAGTGGCTAAAAATGCCAAGAATAACTTATAAGAGCCATATTATCGCTAATAAAGGTGCGTTTGGGCACAAATTACAAGGACAATAACCTCAAACCTCCCTTATAATTGCTTTATTGTTATACTTATAGCAGCAAGACAAATTCTATTAAAAAGCTATTCGCCTTAAAATCAGTGTTTGAAATTCTACAACAAGTGTTTTGTTGAGTGATTTTCCACAGTTTGGCGGTGTCAACAAGTATTTTAAAGAAAACACGAACCAGTAGTAATAATTTCATTTATTTTTTGTAGTGTACCTGAATCCGAGAGTATATTGTGCTTGTTTATTGTGAAAACTGTGTGGGAATTCAAACGTATGATAAAATGAGGTACAAAAAGTGTAATTATATCGACGCGCCCTTGAATTTGAGTAGTTTTACAGTAAAAATGTGAATAATTATTAAATCATGTTTTTATAACGCTTTTACAAGGGTAATAGCATTCTCACATCGGCTATTAGAAATCTATAAGATTATAAGCTCTGTAATGGCATAATTTGTTCCTAATGCTATCGCCATTTTATCTATCGTTAGGGTTCTTTTCATCATTACGTAGTTATGTTATATTATATTAGTTATATTATATTCTTCCTCACTGATTTCCTGTTCTTCATTGTCATCTTCCATAAAATCATTTACGGAACCCTCGAGTGATTTGTTAGTATCAGCTTGGTCACTTTGTAGCATTATACTCGTAGCAGTAGAAGTGGTGGGTGTATTGTTAATCATGGTTTCGTAAACTTTTTTAACTTTTCTTCTATAGCCACCACTCCTCTTAAACTTCTTCCAAACTTGTGAATCCATTTTTATGTTATTGTAACAGTAAACACCTCTGTTGCATTACCAAAATGGCCAGAATATGACAAATGTAGTTAGATAAAATATTTTAAATGACCATTTAGAGAATAATACCTTTTTAATGACTATGTAAGTGAATATGGATTGCTTTCATTCTTGTAAAGACCATATAAAGTGCTATTATTTTTTTGTTGAGTAGACATTTTATAAAATGCTCCTATGAGTTTAAAAGTATCATAGTTAGCATATGCATTACAATTATAAGAATGGTTAGCCAAATAAAAAGCTTTTATATGGCTTTTGAATATTATATGGCTTAAAAGCATTGTAAATGCTCTTATAAGAATAACACATATTCAATCCTTATTATAACCATGCAATTTGGACTTGTTATGGTTAACCCAACCAAATTATAAGAATAAAGGTAATATTAGCCAAATCTTCTTATATTGTGCCATTATAAGGAACATAGACATAATGAAAGCGATTTTAAAACAACTATAAGAGATTAGACCTTATACATATAATTTTATAAGAGTAGCTTGTTTGTTTGTTGGGCTGTATTTGTTTTATAATACGTTGCCTAAATCTATAACTGAACTTCTAAAACCCTTGTTAGCCTGCCTATTGAGTATCTAGTAGATTAGATAGTGACGAACTAGTCAGCTGATTTCCGTTTTCATTCTCAGTACACGTGGAAAGAGATAGCAATTGTTTTCATTGACTAAGCGACAATAAAAGGTGGTCCTTCTTTTTTAAAGTCGGTTAAAAAGAAAAAAAACCAATAAATTTCGACTTACGGGAACTCCTGAGCGCATTTGTCACAAGTATATATTTTAGTATGTGTCCTGTTCAGATGTTTCTTTAGTTCCCCCATACTGCGACAGATGTCGCCACAGAATTTGCACTTCATCATGACATTATGTCGCAGCTTCCAGTGCGCGTGGAGGTGGGCAGTAGATGTTATATCGTCTTTACATATATTACAAGGCGTTGGGTATTTCAACTAAAAATAGATATACACCGTTTTAATCCCTTGGAGGTTCGAACTGGTCCATGAAACACTATCGATTTGTAAAGATAAAATTAAAAAATAAAGTACTTTTTTTTAATAACTCGAATCAATTCTCGCATGAGTGAATAAATAATGTGAACCGTTAGTACAGTTATGTCGGTCCTAAGCCCGTAAAAGTATGAAGGAAACTTTGGAATCAATTTATTTGTTTACCTACGCAAACATCAGTTGATCGAGTCAATAACCTTATGCTTGATCGGGCCGTGTCGACCGACGACGACGTAGGTAACTATCTCGTGGCGCAACTTTTGGTTTCATACATTTTGCGAGTATAATCTTATCAATTGCTAATTTATTTATTTTTTATGTTACACCGCAGTACAAGCTTGTAATGAGTAGTATTCTGTTAGTTAAACCACAGGCCCATGGGATTAAAACGACTAAAATTTAACGGTGTAGAATATACATATATAACATGGATGAAAGTAGATAATTTCGGCTGCATACATTTTCGTGCCTCTTCTGAATGTGAGAAAGCCAATGAAGCAAAAAAAAGTACGTATCGTTAGAACTAGTCATTTGGAGCAAAGTTAATATGGCGCAAAAGTTGTAGGATCCAAGATGAAGAAGTTATACCAGTTCCAAGATTCATCTTTTTTTTTTAAACGTTGCCCCACATTAGTATTAGGTATCTCCTATGTCGTGGGTGCGTTAACAAACACACAAGTTCACATATACATGACACCCAGACCCGAAACAACAATTTGTGGATCACACAAAGTGTTGTTGCGTACGGGAATCGAACCCGCGACACGTTGCACGGCAGCCGGTTGCCCAGCCACCGCACCAACCGTGCAATCGTGACCTGACCAGTATCTATTGTTATACTCTTTGTTTTCATACATTTATTGCTTTCTAAAGGTGCTAGGAAACGCAAAATAATCATCCATATTAACTAAAATCGCGAGTTACTCGCGAGAAAAGCTCTACTGGTTTCGAACCACAGAGGGGTCAGCGCGACGTCGCCGCGACCGCGCACGCTGCTCATGAGGAAGAACCCCTCTATGGTTCGAAACTAGTAGAGCTTTTCTCAGTATATTCACGTGAGTAACCCGCGATTTTAGTTAATTTAGTATGTCTCACGATAGTCATTATAAAAACAAGTACCTTTAGAATAAAGAAATATTTGACTGCCTCGTTGGCCGAGTGGTCGCAAATGCGACTGCCGGGCAAGGGGTCTCGGGTTCGATTCCCGAGTCGGGCTAAGTATTACTGGGTTTTAAAAAAAATCTCAGTAGTAGCACGTAGTCTGGAATTGTGCCTGGTATATGGCAATAGGCTCACCCCCTATTACATGGGACTCATAACATAAATATTGAAAAGTGGGTGTTACATTGTACAGTGGCATAATGTGCACCTCTGCCTACCCCTTCGGGGATAAAAGACGTGATGTTATGTTATGATGTTATGTTCGAAATATTTACCTCTGTATGCTTAAAAACATTATGTCTGACATAGTCCAAATACCTTCTATATGCGACTTGACATGTTTTACACTTATATTTTGGTTTCTCTAATGATTTAATATTCTCAATATCAGGAAAATCTATATTCACATTGTCATAAAACTGTTCTAGTTTTCCCATAAACGTCTTATGAATAACTCTAGAGGTAGCATACTGCCTTCTAGATGTATTTTGCTGTTTCTTTCTCTTGATTTCCTTCTGTTCATCTTCTTTTTCAAATTCACTTTCTGTACCACCACCATCTGATACACTGATATTTTTCTTCTTCTCTTTCTTCTGTAGAAGATCATCTTCTTTATTCATTTCACTCATTGTATCATCACAACTATCTGATACATTGTTCTTTCTCTTTCTTCTCTCTTTCTTCTGTAGAAGATCATCTTCTTTATCCATTTCACTTTTTGTATTATCATAACTATCTGATATATTGTTCTTTCTCTTTCTCCTCTCTTTCTTCTGTAGAAGATCATCTTCTTTATGCATTTCACTTATTGTAGTATCATAACTCTCTGATACATTGTTCTTTCTCTTTCTTCTCTCTTTCTTCTGTAGAAGATCATCTTCTTTATCCATTTCACTTTTTGTATCATCATAACTATCTGATACATTGTTCTTACTCTTTCTCCTCTCTTTCTTCTGAAGAAGATCATCTTCTTTATGCATTTCACTTATTGTAGTATCATAACTATCTGATACATTGTTCTTTCTCTTTCTCCTCTCTTTCTTCTGTAGAAGATCATCTTCGTTATGCATTTCACTTATTGTAGTATCATAACTCTCTGATACATTGTTCTTTCTCTTTCTTCTCTCTTTCTTCTGTAGAAGATCATCTTCTTTATCCATTTCACTTTTTGTATCATCATAACTATCTGATACATTGTTCTTTCTCTTTCTCCTCTCTTTCTTCTGAAGAAGATCATCTTCTTTATGCATTTCACTTATTGTAGTATCATAACTATCTGATACATTGTTCTTTCTCTTTCTCCTCTCTTTCTTCTGTAGAAGATCATCTTCTTTATCCATTTCACTTTTTGTATCATCATAACTATCTGATACATTGTTCTTTCTCTTTCTCCTCTCTTTCTTCTGAAGAAGATCATCTTCTTTATGCATTTCACTTATTGTAGTATCATAACTATCTGATACATTGTTCTTTCTCTTTCTCCTCTCTTTCTTCTGTAGAAGACCATCTTCTTTATCTATTTCACTTTCTGTGGTACAAACACCTGATCCATTGACCTTTTTCCTCTTCTTTACTCTCCGCTGTAAAAGATTTTTTTCCAATTCACATTCTGTATCATAATTAATATCAATGTTTTCCTTCTTTTGTAAAGGATCATCTTCTCTTTCCGTATCACAAAAGTCTATGTCATCGTAATTATCACAGTTGTTTAAACTCTCAACTTCATCTTCAATTGTGTTATTAAATTCTTCTTTTATGTCTTCCAATTCTCCATTCACTTCTATCGAATTCTCTTCTTCATGTAGATGTAAATATTCTGTTGTGTCCAATTTCATGTCTATTTCATATTGTGTGGACAAGACATTGTTTTCATTGATATCTTCTTCGAATGTGTATGTGTAATCATATTTTAAGTTTTTGATTTTTGACAATTGCGTGTGCGTGTTGAATTTGTTCTGAAAGTTTGGAAGACAATTAAGTTGCATTACCAAAGAAAAGTAGAATATAATTTTAAGTGTGGGAGAGTCGTGCTTCGGCACGAATGGGCCGGCTCGACCGGAGTGACGGATGGCCTCACAGAAAACCGACGTGAAACCACGCTTGCGTTGTGTTTCGTCGTGTGAGTGAGGTTACCGGAGGCCCAATTACCCCCCTCCCTAGTCCCCGTCTCCCGAATCCTCCACAATCCTCAAATTACCAATTCCCAAAACGCCGGTAACGCACTTGTAACGCCTTGGTGTTTCGAGTGTCCATGGGCGGCGCCGATTGCTAACCTTAGATTACTTAAAAAAAAATATATTTAGATATTCAGCACCCGAATACTGATAGACAACTCTATTTGAAGTTGTATTTAAATATCGTGCCTGTCATTTTTCTGCTCGACTGCCTCTAGGGCATGTAAAACCGGAAAGTCATCAAAACCGGTTTTGAACATCGTTTTTTTTGGTACCAAAACCGAAAACCGGAGCTAGGTCCGGTTTTATCAAAAAAATCCAATGTAGTTAATTTAAAAAAGAAAACCGTTTTTTTAAATACCCACTGAGTCTACAAATAAAACAAATTGTGTGATTAACTTCTTTTACATCCAAACCATAATAATTGTACAGATAACAATGAACTTATAATAGTATAAAAATTATTTAACTGAGATCAAATCAACAACAAATAAGTTTTTGGTATCTTTGGAACCTATTAAGTCTGCTATCAAAAATAATATATTTTAAACATAGAAAACACAAGTAGCATCTTTAAATATTAAATACAGCCAGCCACAATTACCAAAAATAAACATTATTTTTGTAACTTTGAAGACAAACTACAAAATAATATTATTATAATATGATTCATATTGCACTAAAAAAGAGATCAATAATCAACTGCGGGGTGCAGGCTCGGAGATGTTCGCAGACCCATCAAGAAATATCCAAATAATTACTGATGACACGGGTCCAACTATTTTAAAATCGGAGATATTACGTGACCAGATAACATACCCATATTACCCATCGAGATTCTCAAGCTATTGGAGGAAGTACTTGACCAATTCTTCAACAACATTTACGAAACTGGCATTCTTCCACATGACTGGCTAAAGTCTACGTTCATTACAATACTCAAAAACAAATGACAAACAAAAAGTAAAAACTAAAAAGGAAAAAAAAAACTATTAGTGGTCATAGTACGTACTTATAGCTTACACACCCACTGATAGGTTAGAAGTCGGTGCCACAAGTTTTAAACCTAATTATTATATATTCATTAAAACCTTAATAGATACCTAACATTATTGAGCTGTTTACAATTTTATTATGGATTATACCAGCTGTGACTTTTGTCTACTTTATATTTTATTGTGGGTTTGTGGCACCGACTTCTAACCTATCAGTGGGTGTGTAAGCTATAAGTACGTACTATGACCACTAATAGTTTTTTTTTTCCTTTTTAGTTTTTACTTTTTGTTTGTCATTTGTTTTTGAAGTCGGTTTTTTTAAACGCAGTTTTTTAATTTTATTTTATACTTTTTAGTTTAGTACTTTGATATATTATATTATACAAAACCCACATGGATGCAAAGTTTTCATCAATACAAATTATGCAAGTTCAAACACCGGGTGGGTACTCTTAACCATTGCGGAGTCCCTTAGCTATCATACTACTTCGTCATTGGACCTTTAATGACCATCACCCCCCCCCCCCCCATCTAGGTGTAAAGTCCTCATCAATACAAATTAATCAAACCTAAACACAAAATAGCTACTGTTAACCGTTAAGGAGTTCAACTGGCTCTCGGCTCCATCATCAGATCGGCTCCAGACCTTTATCAGATTGTAGTGGTTTTTAATACTTAATGAAAAAATTAACAAATGCCCTAGTCACCCCTATAATTTTTAAAAGTTCCCCTCGGTTTCCCTGGTCTTCCATCATCAGATCCTGATTTCCTTGTCATGGGACCATTCTGGAACTATCTCCTTTCTAACAAAAAAAGAATTTTCAAAATCGGTTTATAAACAACGGAGATATCGGCGAACAAACAAAAAAAAAAAAAAAAAGCATACATACGGTCGAATTGAGAACCTCCTCCTTTTTTTGAAGTCGGTTAAAAAACAAAATGCAACAAAATATGGAGAGTACCAGATGATGAGTCTAATGAGAGATGTCCTAAAAGTGTTCTTAAACATCATACAGAACAGAATAAGAGTAAAGTGTGACGAACAACTGGGAGACAGCCAATTCGGATTTCATTCTGGTGTAGGCACCCGTGAAGCTTTATTCGCCCTTAACGATCTCAGAATCTCCATCTCTTCAAAAATGCAGAGAAATGCAAACGGACGTGCTGATAATATGTTTTATCGACTACGAAAATGCACTTCATTTAGTTAAGCATCAGGCGGGGGTAGTGGAGGGAGGCGTGAAAATGGGTGGATGCAGGCTGTGTTCGGTTCGGATACATTTAATGCCTCAATATTAATTATTTTTGTAAGAGTGTTTGAAAAAAATTTGATTAAAACAAAATGTTAATTGTTACTTAATAATGGGAAAACCGGAGCTGAGCTCCGGTTTTGGCTCTCAAAACCGGTTTTCAATAATCGTAAAATTTTGGCCGATTTCCGGTTTTGCGCAAAACCGGAAAACCGGTTTTACATGCCCTAACTGCCTCGTTGGCCAAGTGGTGGCGTGTGTGTGAAGTGAAGTGCGGCTGCCGGGCAAGGGGTCTCGGCAACCAAATAGGTTGGACAAAGTATTACTGGGTTTTTAAAAATCTCAGTAGTAGCACGGAGTCTGGAAATGTGCCCTGTATATGGCAATAGGCTCGCTCCCTATTACATGGGACTCATAACATAAATAGTGAACAGTGTGTGGCATTAAGTGCCGTAATCTGCGCCTCCGCCTACTCCACCGGGAATAAAAGCCGTGATGTCCTGTTATGTAATAAAATTAAGTGGCGTTTCAGTATTTAGACATGAGTATTTAGAATAATAAAAAAAAGATTTACCGCATCATGCATATAGTCATTGAGGTAGTCCGCTAGTTGTTTCTGAGCTGATTTGATCCGAGCTTGAAACTGTTGGGTTTTATTTAACAATGCTTTACACTCCCAGCACAGAAGTAAGAGAAGTAGAAATATTACTACGCAGCAGAATGCTTGTACCACATTCGTACAAAATTCTTTACATAGTCCAACTAGTAAAGAAGCTTCCACTACGCAGACGCAGTCATCACGCGCTGTTTCCGAGATATTGCCGGCGAACCCGAGAGCGAGATCGCCGCTGCCGTCGCCGGCCGCTTCGATCATACCTACGACCGCGGCCGCGGCCCCGGCAGCCCGAGCGACAATCGCGTCGACGCGCGCCTCGGCTCAGCTGGGCGATACCTACGCGGAAGCGGTGGCCAGAAAAACAGCGGTAGCGGAAACGGGTGCGCATAACACAAATGATACATGGAATGAAGTAACAAATAGGAGAAGAAATAATCCAGTAAAAATAGGTGGTAATACTTCAGTTACATTGTTGAAGGCAGTAGAACGGAAAAAATATTTACACGTGTGGAGATTGGACAAAAATACTACAGAAGATAACATTAAGAAACATATTAAAAATATAATAGGAGATAGCTCAGAATATAAAGTAGATAAAATAAAAACAAGAACTGAAAGAAATTACTCTTCGTTTAAAATTGGTTTATTGGAAAAGGACTTTGTAAAACTGTGTAACCCGAATGTTTGGCCCTTAAATGTAGAGTTTAGCGAATGGATTTTTTTTCACCGTCCAAATCCAAGCACTTCAAATCATCCAAATACACAGGAGACACAGTGATACCGAAATATTATAATATTTTGTATCAAAACGTAAGAGGACTAAGAACTAAAACAACACAGTTTTTATCATTACTAGAATCTTCTGCTGCTGACATATTCGCTATTACTGAAACGGGTTGTAACGAATCAATTTGCGATTCAGAAATTTCGTTGCCGGGATATCAG